AGCCAAACCTCGAGGAATGTAATCTGTGCCAACAGAATCGTTGACATTGTAGAATTATTATATGGGCTTGTGATAAGCCACTTTTGTTTCTATAACGTCCTATAGACAGAACGGCGGAAGTTTGCAAATAGTAAGAACGGTGATACTTTTATGTTCCGTTTTTATGCAGTCCATTTGTTTTACTGCTAAGCCTATCTACAGTTTAAATAGTCCAAGCAATGAGCCGCTGAGTCCATATAACTCTCACTGTGTTTTGGGTTTTCGCAAGAATAGTGTTAGTTTGACTTCGTTTTCGCAACTTGGTCAGCATCAGAGAATGCTTGTGGAATGCATCTAGTCATGCGTCATCTGCCTTATTATTCGTCATTTCAAGAATCGGACAATTGACTTGATACATTTCTAAACGTTTCGGCGGCATCGTCAGTGCGAGGTGCCATCGTAAGCAGCGAGTTACAACTTATCAATGTGACAAGGCAATACCCTTGATTAATTTTCTGTTTAACCGTTGTCGCATCACTCCTCGCCCCTATTCTTTGTTCTACTGCCGCATCTCTTTCTCTCAATCCTACGTCATGTTGCCTATTTACTTATTCACATCATTCTGTATCATCGTTTCCTCAAATGTCATCTAAGTATGGATTTAGTGAGAAATAATCATACTCACCTCCAGTACCAGCTGCAATTTACCAGTATCCTAACCTCATTCACCCCTCTTGTACCAAGTTTGTCACTTGGTCGCTGCTACATGCACACACACACACACACAAATCACTTAGTGGCTGTCTGAAATCTGGTAGCCTGTTACCATTCAATTCGCGTCCCTGATTACGCCATATTCGAGGATTTCGATCGGATGATGCCCATTCCAATGCCAATGCCTAAGAATCTTTTTCTCCCTAGGCTTCTCCTCCCCATCCACATTGTATTTCATTCCTTGGGGCCCTGTATCTGGCTTGAATCTTAACCGCTTGTTTGAAGATACGGCGCTTCCCTTTTTCCCTATCCTGAATCGCGAAAAACGCATTTCTCTCGTTTCAAAATTCACAGTCCTTTCTAATCCTAAGGTGTTGATCATGCATGTGCTGTTTCGTGTCTCCCGTGATAAAGCATATCAACAGTCGAATCACATTAAAGCACACACACAGGAAGAATGCACACGATTATACACACACACACACATACACACACTGGTGACCTAAATCTGGTCTAACTATAACTTTGTTCTTTAATTTTCTATCCCATATTCTATAGGTGGATACTTACCCAGTGTAAATTTTTTAGCGATTCCAGGGCTGACTTCTCTCACTGAAATCTCATTTTCTTGACTTCCCTTTGTCACTCATGATCGCCTCATTGGCGACGCCTCTTCCCATTGCTGAACAGTTGTTCTGGGTCAAAGCGTCTTATTTTTAATTTATTTGCTAAATCTCAAAGTCTGACCAGGCAGCACGCGAAATTATCACTGACCTTTCTCTCTACGAATCTGTTCATCAGGGTTCTTTGAAACAGGATGTCAATAGCCTCCCTGATCTCCCGTTTTCTGTTGTTCTCACCATATCAGGCCATTCTTTCCGTTGTACTTTAATCAATTGTGTGCCCGATAAGATCAAAGTGTTCAGCTATCTCCAATCTTTTCATATCTATTTTTCTGCATAGTCGCTAGTATTTTTTGATCCTCGTGATGATTGTGCTTTCCGTTTCCGATGTATTTTTGTTCACAGTACTTGTAGTTTATACCGTAAGCTCCAGAGCATTCCATTTTGTTGACTTCATGTTGTGTGGCCAGGCTGGTCAAGAGGGTTGTCCTTTCCTTCATAATTGTGCGAGTATTCCATTTCTATAGTATTGATCGCAGCTTCTGAGCCAGTCCGCAAGAGAGTAAACATATTTATCGTTTTTACTCTTTTTCCCATGCTTTCCTTTCATAACCTTGGTCCTTCCACTTGTATGTTGCTTCTTCTGTATGTCCGCTTCCAAGAGACATCTGAGTTAGTTTTTCCGGTTTCTCTTCCCAGAACTCAGAGTCAGTAAGTCGTAGGCCTCTTATGACCGTACTCCGGATTATTCCAATCTTCGTTCCATAAGTATGGTTAAATTGGAAGTTAAGGCTTATTCCCGCATGCGATTTCTTTCGCAACAGTCGTTTCTTGAGAGCCTCCTCGGAGCGAATGACATCCACATTCCAAAACAGTAGGTGTCCGTTCTCTTCCACAGCCATGGTGAATTTGAATTTTTCATATATTTCGTTTATGAAGATCATGAAATCGTCTAATTTCTTTCCATGAGATCAGATTGCGAAGTAGTCATCCAAATGTCGCATAATTACTATTGGCTGCTGAGGTGACATTTTG